TCATCATCATCATCATCATCATCATCATCGAAAGTGAAAAAAAACCACTCCGTGCTAATACTCACCGCAAATACACTAGTATTTGCCTGCTGGTATGTCGATGAGTACTTCATCTTTAAAACGACAAAACGAAGTAGGTACCAATTACAAATGTAGTTTGTTTGACAAAAATACCTAGCAAATTCTGGTTTACCACACGTTTAGTGCATACTAAAGTAAGTCTCTGCTACATATGTCGTTTCAACAGGAAAATACTTTTTTCTGAACTCTTTACGGGATGATAAAGTCACGTGTCAATACATTTGAGAGACTCTGATCACTTCACTGCTGTTTTTTTTAATATTTTATACACAATAGCAAATTTAGGATTTAATTTTTACTATGAATTAATACTACAAGAATTAACATCTGACGTGTGCATACATATTTCAAAACATATTTATATGTTAAAAATATCATTTAACTTTAATTGGAGTTTAACATCCTTGTCATATAAAGACGGGTTCATCAGCTTGAGGAAAGGCTTGATTCACTTATAGCTCCAAACATGGCGGCCACTTCACACGGCTGATGGCAACATTTGTACCCATACCGACACCACGTCGCGAAATGTTCACAGTTGTATGTTCCTAGGCTGTATATATGCTGGTCCGCAATCGACAATAATGCCCGCTGTACAACCCGCCTCTTGCTGTAGGGACTGTAAATATAACCAATATAGGTGGTCATCAGTTCACGATAATTTTATGTTCCAGATAAAACATTTTTCATGACCGAAAGTAACCGTCAATACATGTTTCATGATGGAAGAAACTATCTAATATTCTAAAGTAGAAGTATGTATTTCGAGAAACTTTCTACACATTCCAATGATCATACTTATTACCGCTGATACAGAGATGTAGCAATGATCCTTCAGGCAATTTACACTGTAACTGTACTCGGAATAACGGCGCGATGTGACTATCCTAGTGAAAGGCTATCGTACGACGATACCATATATTTCTGACACAAAATTGTACAGCTGTGTGGCTATTTTAATAACGTCTTTGTATGTTTACCCCTATTGGTAATTAGACAACAACATGTTAATGTCCCGAGGGATACAGCTCAATTGACCGTCCTATGCATATGCCAATCGCCCCGCCTACACTTAGGTCTTCACGTGACTGGCATGGAGCCAATCAAATGAGAGCTGGACGGAACTAGTATTCGACATTGCCTCCTCACTCCTCAGTTTGTCATCGATCGATACCTCACTGCAGACTATAATGAAAGGTTGGATATGGCTCATGAGAGAAAGTCGGACCTTGCAGCTTGAAATATTGAATTTTAAAAACGCGTGTGCAGTTCTTATCGTAATGTTCATGTACTTAAATTAACAGTGTCAATATAGCATTTCGGACATACATTTTAGTAAGTTTCTTGACCAGATCTATCTCCTGATGAAACGGTCGACACATGCTTGTATTCAGACAAGCCGAACTGCTCATAATATTATACTTCAGAATGGGATTCCAGATGTAGCTAGTTTCTGGTTTCCGTCGACCAAGTCTGGTGTCGGCAGATCAGATACTTATTATGTGCCTTTAACCAGTACTTTAGCGGTTATGATACCGATACGAACCGCACAGACTTTATATCAACCATCAATTAAAAAAACACTATTGAGAGCCGTATCTGTCATTTCAACAAATCGTTCCCACTTTTGTTTCACGATCGACGACAATTGGAAATGGTTGGGTCAGTACAAACCAGAATGTCTTGGCCATTTCCGTGATAAAGTTACGTAAAGATACGAGAGAGTTAGTCTGCAGAGAATTCTGATACAATATTTTGATAGAATTTGAAGCATCATACCTGCGCTGCTCGTCCAAGTAGTTGTCGATCGCACATTCGCTGTCACCAACAGTCTCGTATAGATTACGTGAGCTAACTTCACCACCATTATCTGCGACTAAATCAACGATCTTGTCTCTGCCTGTGTAATGTAGTAAAGCCGAACTTCAAAGTAGGATCACAAATGCTAATCGTTTTTTAAAAGAAAATAATTACTGCTTCTGCATTAAATGTTTATAACGTGATGCTATACATTGTAGCAACAATTCCTTTCAAACGCATTCGTGTACATTTTTTTTTATTACAATTTGTATTCATTTCAATTCGATATCGCCCTTAAATAAACCGGCTTCAATGGAAACTGTTAGCAAATACCAAATGGAAAGTTTCAGGCTAAGTGAGTATCTATGCATAATCAATTAAGCTATTTGATTCTGATTTGCTAACTGGTTTCCATGCAATCATCGCCTTACCAAAATGGTTCGATTTAAAACAAAAACACAAACTCGCCAACAAAACGACACACAAGTCACGGGCTAAGTACGATCTCAAATGCGGTACGTCAATATCTATGCATAATTAATAAGGCTACATGACTCTGGTCTGTTTCCTTGAAATGTAAAATTTAAAATTAGATCCGGGATGCGTGTATACATAATGACATGTGTGTGTGCACCTTATCCTAACCTTGGATACTATTTATAATCGTGTCCGGAAAGCAGGACAGGAATTTCTACGAACTGGCTGGTGTGTATCAATATTTGTGTCTCCACTGTAACCATGGAAACGTACATGTCTATCATAAGTTTCGTATTATACCGTTCAAGACTATAACTTTACACATGCAGTGACAGTTTCGTATTAAACAACACCATACCTTTGCACATTGGTGAACGAATGGTAAACATATATGAGAACTGAATAAAAAGATTGCGTGACGACAGAAATACTTTGTAAACATGGAAAACGTCTTTGAAGTCATGATTTATTAGATATATTTACCTATATATATGGCGTAGTGCAGAAAACCTTTTCGTATCATCTTAATCATGTCGCCACGTTTCCGTTTCCTCAGACTTCTTTCGATCCTGGCTCTCTGAGATCTGATTGACTCCACGCATGACAGGGATTTTGATAAATCTGTACTTGATGCAGAAAAACATTCCAAACTTCCTTTAATCTTACGGAAGAATCCTTTCATTTTACGAATGGGGCAAATATCAGTTTACGCTGAAAATGAAAATTTAAGTTCATGCATTAATAAACAAACGAAACAGAGAGATAGATATATAAATCAAGCAGGATCTCTCCAGTCCGAAACTCTCTACAAACCAGGTCAATTATATGGTCTCTATGGTGTCCGGTTGAGACAGAACTTACAGCAAATATCTATTCCTTTTAATTGATCAAAATATAAAAATAAACTTGCGGGGGGAAAAAAAGAAACTGTGCATAGGTGAAAAACCGGTCAAAAAACACCTTTAAAATGTATTGTAATAATTTGTTTGATAAAAGCAAAGACATATTTCGTCAAAGATCAATCTATTCAAAATTATCAAAAGAACAACCATTTTAACGCGAGGGAACAACAAACACATAATGCATACTGAGCCGGTTCACAATGTCAATATCAGTTATACCCAGCGTTTGCAGTAAAGCA